ACTCAAACCAATTAGCACTGTAGCGGGACAATACTGGTGTTGAAACCAATACGGTGGTGTTTGCGATCTAGGCGGTTTCCCACGATATGATATGTCCCGCCCAAATATTGCACCATTTGTCCAATCGCATGCAACTGCAATGTTCAACCCTTCCGAAACGGAAATCGCGAGACAGCCTTCAAAAGCCAGTTTTTGCATTCTAAAGTGTAGACTTTTATCTTGCTTCCTGCTTCCCTAAAAAACAAACACAGCGTTGACACTTTGGCGTTTGAAAGCTTGGCAAACCACAACAACTTTTTTTGGGGGGCAGTGCATGAAAAGTGGCGACCATTTTGGGGACTCCTGCCAAGAGTTCTTGGAACATCTGACGCGGTGTGGCACTGGTAGCCACCCGCGTAGCAACGGAGGGGGGGAGGCTTGTCCGCTTAAAAGGCACATGGTAAGTTCCATGAATCACCCTGAGGCAAGGGAAGCGGACTGAAGTCACTGTCACCCAAGCGAGGCATGGGCTGGGCTACTGAAGTCTGGGTGCAAAATCTCACGGCTAGCTAAACCCTTTGCCAAGCAGGTGGCAAAAACGATAGCAGACCCCTGCTCATTCGCGATCCGCCCAACCAAAAGCGTACCCAATGATTCACCAAATGAACTTGAGCCCCAACAGCAGAAGCTTCATAAAAGATCGCAATCCCATGTGTGAGGTCACCATAAACCTCAACTTGCAGCACCTTGTCCAAATGGCCCTAGGGATCGCAAAGAAATCCACAAGGAACCAACCCATCCGGTTCCAGCTTGACACCAAAGGAACAGCAAATGTCGAGGAAAATTCGCCTCCCCACATGAGGCTGAGCGGCCCCAAGACTCCAAAGCATCGCGCAGGCTTTCCACCTCGTGTCCGGCCGGAAGGAACCAAAGCAGGGGGAAAAAAACGCTTCAAGCCCCGACCAGTTATAAAGGAAACCAGCAGCAAGGGTATCCTCCCCCCCCAGTTTTGAAGCAAGAGGACAAGTAACAACTACTTGATGTGCCGAAATTATCTTCTGAAGGGTGTGTCATCACGTCTGGCCGTGTCATCCCTTGGCGACTTGACATGTTGCGTGCTGGTTTGATCTGGATCTGCCGCCCTTCCTGATCGAGTTCGAACAATCTTCTATACATACCCGTCCCCAGCGAATCTCGCGAAGTCGGACCGGTGGAAGGACGGGCCAAACATATTTGAATAAATTATCATTAATCAGTGATTCCAGCTTCCTGTATAGCAGGTAAAAAGAGAAGAGTTAAAAACTAAAAGGACAACTGCTGGCTACTTATTGTAGGGTTAGCTTAGCTGGAATGCACTGGGGCCTGGGGTTACTATGGCTATCCTTCTTTCACCCGGCGTCTCTCTCCTCCCGATCGCCCCCCCAGCAGGGAAGGCCAACATGGCGCTCAGGCCGCAACGCCCACGTTCGAGAGGCCGTCAGCCTTGCCCGCGCACAATGCCACAAAGCCACAGCGCCCCGCATAATTAATCGCAATAGACAAAAGGACGCTTTGGATTGGATATGCAAACTACATGAGTAGGTGAATGGTTGATAGCGGGACAGCAGGGATGGGCAAACAATGTAACCACGGTTGTAACTTATAACCTATAGCCACCAAGCGGGCTGAACATCCCACGGCCGGGCTTGCCTTTGAAGCCCTTTGCTTAAGGCCTTCGAAACATCCAAAAATCAGCAAAAAGGGTTTGGACGTATAAATTTTCAGGGACTCACCTATTATACTTTTTGTTTCAGGCCTGGAAAAGGGACACCACCCATGTTGCAGGTTGCCCGATTTGAGACGTGAACCCATGTGTGTGTGTGTGTGTGTCCATCCAATCCAACAACGGAGCAACGACAAATAACCCGAGCCGAGCGGCCAAAAGCTTCCGCGCTGCGCTCACCTGAGTAGCTCGATGGCTCCGGGTTTCTCGATGGTTTTGCGCTCGAACCCCCCCCTTTTGGTGGAAAGCGAAAGGGAACGAAGGAGCAACCAGATAGCGTGGGTGCGGCTGAAGCCTCGGGAAAACAAAATGCAGAGGCTCAGTTGCCCAGGGACCCAAAGTGCTCAAAGGTGATATGATTTTGAGCCAAAGGAGGAGACCAAAAGGCCAGACCAGGGCGATTTGCTTTGGTTGCGAAGTGAGGCCACCAAAAAGCATCTTCTGTGTTTAACTGTCATAACCCGTTCTCCTTCAAACCACCCTGAGGGTCCGATCGATCGAATATGGGGCCCCGAAATGTGCGGTCCTTTTGCCCCCGATGGCCCAAGCAGTGCTGTTAAAGGGCACCACATGTAAATCCGGCCAAGCTCTGCTGTGAGTTTGATGGTTGGAACCCGAGACCGGAAAGCCGGGTGTGTTCTCTCCAAAGTGGTCACCCCCCGCGAAGGACACCCCCGATCAATATCAGCCAGGGGATTATTCATCCGGGGTTGACATTAATTGAACCCCCCCAGTGGATTCATCCTTCCGAGTTTGATATCCACCTACATGATGTCCCGCAGTAAAATTCACAAGATCCCACCAGGTGCGCACTCCAACCCCCAGCATGCGAATGATTCGGCCTGCGCACTTCGGTCCTTCTCGGGAACTTTGGCCTGGCGAATCGCGAATCCGAATTCGGATGGAACGACCTGAGCTGAGAAGGTTGGGGCGGGGTTGGAGTTGGCCGACCTACCATAGCAAGACGAACTGGAGCCTAAATAGTCCGTGGTGCAAAGGGTATAGAACTTTCATCCGGGGGGTAAGCTAAGGGGTCGAGAGCCCTACGGTTTCCTTCGGGCCAATTAGGGAATCCCCCCTCCCCTTGGGCTGGGGACTAAGATTTCACTTTGAAGAACCCAGATCATTAAGTGGTGAACTGGAGCTACCTTGTCACCCCCCCCCCTCGCATAAAACTCACATCTTCATTCTCAAGAAAGGCGAACATAAATTTACCCGATGTGGGGAAGAAGCCAAAGGTTTAACCCACTCACAGCAGGGTTGACTCCAGTTTATTTTGGTGCCTGACCCACGGTTTGAGAAGTTTGACTTGACTTCCGGAGAACACCCAAAAATGCACTCCCTGGATTCCTCCTGATCAGGATGAAATAGAGCAAGTCCCAGAACGATCAGCTTTTGGAATGACTAAAAATAGACCAAACTTTGGGTTCGGGCAAGCGAGAATTTGCCAGGGGCAAAATGAAGTCTCCGCAAATATCAGCCTTCGGGTTAAGACAGGAACATCAGCACAAGTACTTCAATTTGCTTACGTGCCCTGGAAAATATACTCCCAGTAGTGACGGATTCGCTTTACACCAACAGGGGGAAGTGAAACATATTCTTCAGCAAATACACTAAGTGGGACACTGAAACTCCCGAGCTCGGTTTAATTCACCCAGGCCACCTGAAACAAACCTGGACACCGGATCTCTGCATATGCAAACTGGCCAAGGCATTTAATTGCTTGTCAGGTCATCATCTTCTTTCACCCTTCTTTGGGTGCCAAGTAACCCTTCACGTGAGTGTCTTGTTGTTTTCTTCCTGGTCCAAAAGCACACCGCCAGTGTTTCACTTCTCGCTGAGAGGCGCTGTCTTGCTTTTCCAGTCCCTCCGGCCCCAAAGTCCAGCCACGGCCAAAGACCGCCGAAGCCTTTCCCCATTGAAACGGACTACCCAGAAAAAACGTGTCCATGGGAATGATCAACATGTGGATAGCGCCAGATCGCAGTCTCTAGTAAGAAGCCACATTCCCTGGAGCTTGTGTTTGGGATTTTTCCCGCCGGTTGCTACTAAATGAAATCGCTGGGCCCGCTGGACGATGAGACAGAAGGACAGAACCAAGCAGAAGTCTGACGACAACGCTCAGGAACACTGAAAATAGTGGTTGGAAAGATACTGCCCCTCAGCTTCCGGTGCTTCTCTCACACATTGGGAGGTGACAAAAGATCTCGACAAAACATGCCCGATTGAAAGCACCTGTGTGGGTTTGTTCATACACCAAGATCTGATGCAAACCAATTGGCCCCCCGACATTCGTCTAAATCCCTAAATCTAATCCGCAGTGTGTCCCCCAAAGTCTAAGTAGCGCCTGAACCGCGTAGCGCCGCATGAACGCCTCAGAGCCGGCAGAATCAGCACTTTCTACAAATCGACTAAAGTTGGAAAGAAATCGAAACATTTTCACCCACATGTGCCAAGGCTACTGCAAAGGCCGAAATGAAGCTATCGTGGCCGTGGGGCCAAATTATCATCATCATCGTTAGCATCATCATGAAGCTTCATCGTCATCATCATCATCATCATCATCATCATCATCATCATCATCATCATCATCATCATCATCATCATCATCCTCAGCAGGTGGTTCAATAATCCCCTTAATTGTCCCTTCGGGTGTCTCTTGCAGGGAACCAATCAACAACTCGTGCCAATGCAGCAAAAAGCGGGAACCAACACAAATGCCATTTAGGGGAATCTGTTGTTTTTGGGGACCCCCCCCAGGGTTCCGCGCGAAGATGCGGTCGGGTAGTATAGGGGATTAAAACCAAAAGACCGCACCAGCCCAAGCTGAAAGCATCTCAACTCGCACCATGTTCGAAGAGCCGACAGCGCTGTCGACATGCTCTGTCCCCATAATGCACCTTGTGTGCGACTTCATTGACGCGCACTCTTCACTTTGGAAGTCGAAACTGTCAGGGACAAAGCCACAGCCCCCCCACCCGGGGCCGCTGAGAAACATTCCCGGCGGGGGGGGGGTTGGCCAATGTCTCTCCTGTGCACTCTTCAAGGGACCTGGTATATGGGAGTCACCACTTGGTGTCACTAGGCTTCCGAGGTCCCGCGAATTTGGCTGCGGGGCAAAACTCGGGATGGTGGTTGGAAGAATTTCAGTGGAACCGGCGTGAAGGCGGTGTCAGTTGGAGGGCCACTACTAAAACATATCCAAGGATGTGTGTGTGTGTGCTGGTGTTTTCCCCTTGAACCCCCCAAAATGGGCGCCCTACCAAAAAACGAAAACGCCGCACGCCCGGATGGTTTTGCCACACAGCCACTCGAATTCTTGCAGGGCTCGCGATCGAGCTACAGCAAGGGGCCTGGCAAAGTCGGATTTTTGCCAGCGCGGAGTCCTTCGTGGAAACACCACACAAACCGTCAAGACGGCGATGGATGTACAAATATGGGCCGCTCTTTTTTCAATTCAGGCACATTTGAGGCTGAACAGCCGGAGTGGCCTGAACTCGGGCTGTGGGAAAACCTGAGGGCTTCTGCGAGCGGAAAACCCTCTGGTGTACAAGGAAGAGCGGCAAAAGTGCATCGAGAGGCTCCCGGAAATGGTGCGAGTGCCCAGGGGCCCAAGGGGCCTTCCCACAAGTCACGCGCATATAAACAGGACCTTGGGTGAGTTCGGTTTACCTCCCAAAAGATCCAGACATAAAAGGTGAACCTTACGACAAAACATGGACCAACAAAGGGAAACTAAAAGGTCAAAAGGTCGATTCGCTTTGGGCGCGTGAGCCAAAGCTGTTGCGTCGTTGTGAAACCCGAGGAACTCCTCCCCCACCTATGTCCCCACCTAACACCCCGCTCGCCGTGCCTTGCTGTGGCGGGGCAAGCAGCTTTGCACCTCGCATGGATTCGGATGATCACTATCCGAGTTGGTATTGTCCGCAAGCAGCAGCCAGGCCTCTTGTTTGCCACCTTGACATAGCTGGGTGTGCCTGGTGTTCCTTTCAGTTCTATCTAAAACAGGGATCCTTACAATATACACCTCCTGGAGATTCATTCTCCATGAATTTCCTGGTAGTTCTCGGCTTTGACTTGCTTTTCGTAAATCTCGATGTTTTTTTCGTGAAGTCGCCTAAAACTACTAAAGCTCCTATATTTTTATGAGAAATCAGAAGTGGTACGGTTTCACGTTTTCCCCGCCCAGAATTACCCGCAAAACGCCCGCAAAAAGCCCGCAAACGCCCGCAAAACCCCGCAAACGCCCGCAAATCGGAAAAAGACGCTTGTTGGGCTCGGGGGTCGCGCAAAATTCCTAGAAACCACTTAGAACGCCCAACACGCCCAAAACTACCAGGAAACTAAAACGCCTAGGAAAAGGCCGGAGAATGAATCTCCAGGCTGAACATTGCCTTGTAAATGGCGGTTTCCTTGTATTTCGGTGGGAACCAAAGCATGTTTCAAATGGGCCAAAGGTATCTGATAAGCCCTGCTAGATCCACTGAAAACGGGTTCCCTCGAAACCAGACACCAGATCTTCCCAAGTCCAGGGACCTTGGCCCTCGCAGGCCTGCCACCGCGAAAAAGAGGGGGGAGGGCTTTTTCACCCATATGTTGTGTTTGTTTTTGTTTGTTGGTCTTTTGCTTATTTTTGTTTTTTAGAAGGGAACCCCTTTTGGGGTTGCTAGTTGAAAGAGAGACCAAAGGGACCCAGGGTTTGGGTGGTCCCTTTACCTTCCTTTAGAGACCCGAAGCATCCAGTTCGAACAACGGGCCGATTCCAACGCCTCGCCTTTTGGATTGGGAATGGTCCTGGCCCTGCTCGGGGACAGCAGCGTGGGGTTCCCCGCAAAGCCTCAGGCGACAATCCGATCCGCTTCCCTTCCGGGGGCGGTCCCGCAAGACAGACAGTTACCGGCTGAGTGGATGGCCCAAAAAAAATCCAAACTTTATATTTACCACTAAAATGGTCTTCCCAAAAAGTTTAAAGTTCATGAACCCAGGAAGTGAGTAGTCTGTTTGGGGGGGGGGGGTCCTGCAAAACAGATACGTGACGTACACACTGACGTCGCTATACGTGCCAGGCTCAAAATCCGATAATGCTGCAAATCTGAGAGTGCCCTGAGATTTGCGGTTCAAAATCAGAGTTCCCCATGTTCCTCCCAAAAGGGCCATAGGATACTGGAGATGTTGCCCGCACCTTATTCAGTGGTTACATTTAGCAAAACTGGAAGGGTATGCATCATATCTGAAATTGTCTGAATGAATCATAAATGTTTCCAACCTAAGATGGTTTCCACTGCCGCAAATCCACTATCCAAGGGAAAATGTGCAAAACTCAATTATGTCGTGGCTGCGACACCACGGGAATGTGTATGCAGGCTTTGTCCAGAGCGCATCATAATCATACCTGCAGATTCCCAAGTGTTTGTGGGATACATAAGGCCGCTGGTAAGGGATTCGCCTTGAATTCCCCAGACTCTCATGGACAGGGAGGGGTCAACCCCTCGGCACGCCGAAGGGCCCTGAGGCTCTGTGTGTGTGTGTGGCAACATTTCCCCGGGTCCAAACCAAATGGAGGGAAAAAAAGGTTTCTCGAGTGCGGTGGCTTTAGTACACCCTGCCCAACGGCAAGCACCATGGAAACACCGTGTCCATTCAAAGCTCACTTCCGATCGAGTGGATTGGCAAACACCAATCCACATCTTTTGGTTGCCACCAAATTGGTCTTCTCAATAAAGTACAAAGTCCAGGAATTCAGGAAGTGAGAACGGAATATGAGCAACGAACAATCCAGACATGGCCTATAGCAGCGGATTCTATTTTGCCCTGAATGGCTGCGCAAAGTCGCACAGATCTGCACCGCCTGGGTGCCGAAAGCGATTCCTTCGCTTGAGGAACCGCTTCAAAACGTCAGGCCTTTGTGGCCCCGGCGCTCGGCTGCTTCGTAGCCGAGGCGCTCAAGATGACTGCGAATTGCAGTCCCAGGTTGGACATTTGTCACCAAGTCCGCGTCATTGATCGTGCCCTTCACCTTGTCGACGTTCCTCTCCACCACCCTCATCTGGAGCCAGAGGAACCTGGCTTGCACATGCCTTGTGCGCCCCACTCCGCGCCTCTCGGCCATCGCTTTCGCTGCGCTGCTGTCGACCTTCAAGGTCAAGGGCTTTGTCTCACCCGTCCAGAACTCGGCCACGCCCCTCATGAACTCACCCAGCGTGGCAGTCCTGCACATCCCATAGTACTCCGCCTCCGTCGAACACAGGGCCACCACCTTCTGCGTCGTGGCCTTCACCATCAGAGTGTGCTCGCCATTCTTCACCACCGTTCCCGTCGTGCTCCTCCTTGTCACAGGATCACCGGACCACGCCACAATCTGCGGCACCGCCAAGTCCTGCTCGTAGAAAACTTTCTTCAGGTACGGGTGCTTCACCAAGTAGCGCACCGCTCTCTTCAACCTCAGCCAGTCATTCTCGCTTGGCGCTCTCATCTTCGATGCCAAGCTTCTCACCACGTGTCCCAGGCCAGGCCTGTGTAGGCCATCCTCATCACCAGCGACTCCTCCGCATTCAACTCCGCTGGTCCACAATGACCATGTCCTTCGCGACCTGCTTGTCCTCGGGCATGTCCACGCCCTTCGTCTTGCCGTTGAACCCAAACGCCTTCAGCAGGATCTCCGCATGCCGTGCGTCGGCCTCCACCTCCAGTTTCCATTCCGTTCCATTCGGGACATGCCTGATGAGCCGGTTCAGGAAGAACAGCTCCTTGTCATTTCCAGAACCGTCCCCCATCTTCGCCTCCCACCTCGGTATTGAGGATCTTGTCCAGCTCATCCAGTTCCGCATCCGCCGCCGTCGCCATGAAATCATCACCATGCACCAGCCCACACAGGTCCATGCCCTCAATCTTGAACAGGGCAGGGCACAGCAGACACTTCGAATAGTCCTTCTGGAAGATGTGGCTGGCGTCCTGAGTCCCACACATAGACCTCAGAAGACGCCCGCACATAGGCACCCCGGCATCCTCCTTGCGCGTCCGGTCCTCCTCCGGCAACTGAATGTAAATCTCCCTCTCGGCGCCACATGAAGTGAGCGCCCCAAGCTTCCGCTTCTTCTTCCCTGGCCTCTTCGTCATGAACAAGCTCAGGGCATTCAAGCGGCGGGCCTCAGCTGCTCCTCCGGCCGCTTTGCCTTCTTCACCTCCTTGGTCACCAGCCTGCTCCTCACTTTGACATCTTGACTGTCACCCTTGTTGACGTCCAGCCACTTCAGCTGCAGTGGTTTAAATCCTCTTTCTCGGCAGATGCTCATCGGCACCCGCTCATACACCTCCTCTTTGGCCAGCCAGTCGATCTCTTCCTTTCTGGCGGCCTTCACCTTCTCCACAGGCAGCCCCGTGCCCGTCACATCATCCACATACTTCTCAAACTCCTTCTGGTAGAAGTCCTCCTGCTCCACATGCTCATCGGGCGAAGGCCCAGTCAGCTTCTCCTCCAAGCTGTTGATCTGCTTTCGGGCCCTCAGCTCTTTTCTCAAGCCCCTCAGGATTACCTCCGCCAGGCCCTTTGGGTACACCTGCGCCATCTTCGCGCGATTCTTCCCTATGAGGTGCGTATGGCGATGCACCTGCAAGTTCTCACCGTCCGGTGTCTGGCCTCTTCAGCATCTCCTGGACCTCTGGCATGTCCCAGCTCGTTGACCTCTTTGGGTGCTCATGCAAGTACACCCCACCTTGGTCTGCCTGCTGCTTGCAACAGCTCATTGCTTTTCTCACACGATCCTTTCCGAGCTTCTCTCCTTTTTTCGCACCACTTCTGGATCCCGCTTCGGATTGCTGATGTTCCTCAGCGGGCTGAGCGTTGTGCACGGTGGGGAGCTCGTAACCAGCCAAGGCTCCTCACGCCGAATCATCTTGCGCAAGAGCCCATAGTCTTCCTCCCGGTCCAGGTCCCACCTTTCACCGCCTCCTGGTTTCATCTCGTCCAGGTCCACCGCAGCTCCGTCCCGGAAGCCGAACCTGGCCAACTCCTTCGTCAGCCTTTTGGGGCTGAACACCTCGATGAGGTCAAGCGCCCCCAGCTCCTTGACTATGCTCGCTGCCTCCTCGCTCCTCATCTGCTGCCCCAGCTCCTTCTCCGCCTCCATCAATCAAGGCCCCGCCGGGCCAGCTTCCTCGCAAGAGATCCTCAATGTCCCTTGCTCCGCCTTCACCTCCCTTTTTTTCTTGGGAGACTCACCTTCATCGGGGCCTTTGCTCGAGCTCGATGGCTCCTCTGCTGCTGCTCCTGCTGCGGCATCTCCTCGGCTCTCATCAATCTCCACCTCGGCAGCTTGATTCACAGCCCTCTGCCGATCCTCTCGAAAGTCATCTTTTCGGGCCTTCTTCCTCACCTGCTCCTCTTTCTCTTCCTCGTCTGCCTGCTTCTTGAAGATCCGCGACCGGCGCTCCTCGTTGTGCTTCACCTGCTGAAATGGCTTGCCCCGCACCAATGAGATGCATCCTTCACACCCCGGGGTCTTGCCATACTTCTCCACCATGGCCTTCCGCACTGTCCGTGCCTTGCCATGTCCTCCGTCCGCCTGGCGAACCTTCCTCCGATGCTGCTGCACCATGCCCGTGGCGTTTACACACTCCTCACACCAGCTCCTATAGACTGCATGTCCGCTGGCCTCATATTCTCTCTTCTCCCTCGCCGTTGGCATCGGCGGGGCTTCGATTCCTCGGGAGCGGCGGGCTTACCAGGTTGTTCCTCCTCCAGCGCCCACACAGTGCCTTCCTCTTGCCTCCAAGGCGGCTCCCTCCATGGTGCCTTCGCCGCACTCCTGGCCGCCCCAGCACGTGATTTGGGCGTTGCACCCAAACCAGATCCTTCTCCTCCGGTCTCCCAGCTGGCTGCGCCATCGTCCGTCTCCGGATCATCGTGCCGGCTCATCGCCCTCTCGTAGCTCCTTGCGCACCGGGTGGTCCAAGGGCATACCAGCAAGGGCTGACCAGCCTCATAGAGAGGCCGGTTCCAATTATACAGCCGGTGCCGTGTATAAGGCCGGTGCCACAAAGAAAGGTTGGGCACACCTCCAAGCAGAAAATGGGTTTGGGGTGCTGGAAATAGCAGACAAGAGGCCCAGACGATGGGCACAAACATTCACGAGGATTGAGTCTGTGGAAATGAAGAAATCTATGTAGAAAGCAACCCACGTCAAGATGTTTGGCTCAAACATGAAGGGGCCAGTATGGACAACACCCAACTGCGCACAGTTTCCCGCAAAACGACCGCAATAGCGGTGTTTCTTTTAAGATTGGCGCCCTGTTGAAACACGATTTCACAAAGAGACCCCGCGGAAGCAAACGAGTCGACACGCAGCCGCAGAGCCTGCAATATGTTTCCCTGGTCGCCAACTTGTATATGCAGATTGTTATCTACATGCCGCCATTCATTTTCAAACACTCTTTCAAGGCATAGCGAAACAAAACTTGCTTGCTCATGAACTTTGGGTGACAAGCTACAGCGGCGAACTTCACACGCCGAATTGCGTCTTCGTCGACATAGCATGCCAAATAACGAAAATTGCGAGGGGTGAAATCTAAGCACAAGTGTTCATACATATGCTGCTTGGGACGTGTGTGAAACCTTGCCTCGCCTTCTGAGAGGGCTTTTTCTGCCAGCTTGTTGTAAGCCGACCTGCACAGCAAGTAGTTGTCCCTGATTGTTTGGCACTCTTGCTCGTTCAGAAAGCGGCTTCCCAGAAGGCATACTTCTTCCACCCCCGCGAGGCCGCCCAGGGCTCCAGCGTGCAACCTTACACGTGCGCTAAACCCCCCCTCCAGCAAAGAAAGTGCAGCACGCTGTTTTGTCACAGGAGCAGGTCGGTTTCGCTTGCGTCGGCTTTGGTCGCAAACTGGTTGGCCAGGCTTGACAGCCAAAACAGCATGTAGCGGGCTGCTGTGGCAGATAGAACTTTCTGGGACACCTCCATGTACTTGTCGCCAGTCCCTCGAAGTGTTGTAGACAAGAAAAATTTTCGGGTTGCCCGATCAGTGACCTTTGTGTTTTCGCAGAAGTCGCGGTAAGATTGCCACAAGCGCTGCAGTCTGGCATCCCTGGAGTTCCCCTGGACCAGCCGATCGGTATCAGTAACGTTCAGGATAACCGATATCAAGATATCAGGAAACAAAGCCAAATGCGCCACATGCATCAAATCCGGCAGTACTCCTTGCGTGGTTGATAAACCGTTAAGTTTGCAGAGTTGGCGGTTTGAAGGGTGCAGATTTATAACAAGAACCAGGTCAATTAGGGGCCCCTCCCAAAAAAACAAGGTTCCCCCCTCAAAACAGAGGAAGTTGCGCCAAGATTCTCCAAGGGCTGAACCCAACAGTTCTGGCCAGGGGGGTGGGGGGGTTGATCGCGTGCCACTCGTCCACAGTCACAAGCCTCAGCTCAGGGGAACGACGCGGGAGTGTTTGGCTGCCCCTTTTAGGAAATGGAAACCGGCTCTCGTTTTGAGGAGTTTGTAGAGCTTTGCAACTCCAGGCCAAACTCTCCAAATGGAACGACAAACGCGGTTACGTGGCTGGACAAAGAAAAACACAATGTTCAACAAGGGGCGTTTTCCTGTGCCCAGCATCTGGGCCAAAATTGGTGTAAAGCATCTCCAACTCGTCAGCTTTTTGGTGCTCATACACCCATTGAAGTGCGCCGCAGTAGTAGCAGCAGAACTGTTTGGTGTAGAACCCTTAGTCGAGAAATCAGAAAACAGAATTGAGCCCGCCCTGCAGAAGCAGGCCATGTGTGTCACCGCATGTTGACAAGGGACTGGCTGGCTGCAGCAACACCCGAATATAATCTTGATCGCCCTGTATCCCTTCCAGCACTGCCTTGTACGTGCCAGCAATATTCTTTCCTGCAACTTTCCATCGAGCGGGGTTGTACTTCTCGTTGAAAGGTTTGCCCCAAGGGTCTTCAGCAGGATAAATTCCAAGTCCTTGCGTTTCACGCAACGCGAAAGGTATAGGGGAGTGATTTTGCAAGCCGAGACTCTCAAGCTTTCAAAGCTCCAAGCCAATGCTTCCAGCAATGTTGTCCGGGCTGACCCGTTGCAGTAGGCCACGTTCATGCAGGAAAGCCTGATAAAGCGGTAAAAAGGATTATAGGGCTAGCGGGTTGGGGTGCTATCGGGCTCACAGGATGCGGCTGTCCCACGTTGCTGATGATGCCATGGGTAGGATCAGTGTGATCATCTCGAACTTCTGCTTTTCTTAGTGTGGTCAGCTATGAAAAATCCGGAAAGCAAATTCACAAACACACACACACACAGAGCCCCCCCCAATATGTTGGGCAAGGCTCTGTGCGCCTCCGCGCCATCGCCGTACAACCGAAGTGGCAGCACATCCTCCGGCAAGCTTTCCTCGGAAACCGGGGCTACACATTCTGCTTCCCTATTAACAAGAGAAACAGCTTGACCCGTTGGTTTTGCGAGTTTGGGAAAAGAAGCTGGTTTCCACATATCTGAAAAGAACATCTCAGGCTTGACCTTAGGTTTTTCCAGTTTGTGAAAAGAAGGCCGCTTGGTTTCCAAGTCTATCAAAAGAAGCTTTTACGTTGTCCAAGTTTGTGAAAGAGCAGCTCTTTTGTTTCTAAAGCTTGCGAAGAGACACTCTTAGGTTTTCGAAGCTTGTCAAGCCGCTTGAAAGATGGGGTGGCTCTGGAACCACTCGGTGTGCCGCTCATTGCGCCAGAATGCGTCGAGCGCCTAAACTCCGGCCGGAGCTTGAAGCACTAGCCAGCAAACCAGCAACATTCAGCCAAGTAACGCCAGGGGGCCCCTGTAGCCTCTTCTTCAACGCGTTCTTAACATCTTGGCGGCCCTTGAAGTCCCAGAAGTTTCCAACTACTTCATGCAGTGATGTGGGGCAGAAGTATGCATTGTTCCGTGGGCATCCACATAGTCCACAGCAACTTCAAACCTGATCCACAAATTCAGGTTGGAATCAAAGTGCAACAAGGGTCAAAGAAATATTTTGCAACCGCGGTTCTCAAAGGGCAGCGGGAGGATTTTTCCTGATCTGTTGTGCATCAGCAAGCCGTCACTTTACAAGGGGCCCAAAAACACACAGACCAAAGTAGATTGCCAAGCAGCTCCACGGTTGCGCCTCAACCCAGCGCTGGAAGCCAGGCCCGGAGCCCCAGCTTGCCTGTCTGCCTTTCAAAACCTCTGCCAATTGGAGGATAGACTTCCTCAGATTTGGATGTGCAAGTGCAGCTGGGTCAATTAATTCGTGATCAGCCATGTGGCGGGACACGCGCGTGCGGCAATCCCGATAGCTTTCCTGCAAGACAAGAAACTCAAAAGAGCCAGTAGTGTGGACCAGTTCAGCCTACCAGGGACTGCACTCGTTGCATGGGCACCTGTCAAGTTCGTTTTGCTTGCTGCCGCACCACTCATAAAAAAAAATCCTGCCTCCCCTTCACCAAGCATGTCAAATAGTTCCTCAACTGTACTTGCTACTACATCCTCGATTGATTGCCCTAGGTCAGACTGGCTCACGCTGGCAGCTCCAGCCATCTTTGCTGGAGCCTCGAACCCGAATAGCCGGTTGTTGCCATAGGCAAAATGCTGCAATACGCTTCGTGCAGCATTAGTGTAGTCATGGTTGAGGATAGGGCAGCGTTTTCCATGCCATGTGTGGGTGGTCTAAGAGCAGCGTGCAACATGCCAAGGGCGGGCCAGCGTCCATTCCTTTAAAATGGATCGAGGCCCAGTAGCCGGACAATTCAAGGTTCACCCCGTGCACAGGTTGGGAGCCAGTTGAATGCACGACAGCGTACTGAAAACTCGTATGGTTTCTTTATAAGATGCTTTCAACACATGGTCACAACGGGGAATCCAACTGCAACCCGCCATATGCTCCCCCAGGAATCCCTTGCCGCTCGCAACACCCATACATCCAGCCATGAAACGTGTCTACATCCCAGACTATTCCCAGGTGCTACTGCCCCAGTCACTGCCCTTCCAGGTTTCAGGCGAGGTCTCAGACAGCGATGATGTTTTCTTCGCCGCTTTTTTTGCCTCCTTCTCCTTCTTTCGCTGAGCAGCCTTTTCACCTTACAACCAACGGCTACGAAAGTGTTCTTCTAAATGTTGTTTTCAACTTTCCCTGTAGGGACTTTGCACGTTTGATGTGCCTGAAGATGTCACCATATAAACACTCGGTGTGTTTGGAGATTACCCGCCCAGTTGAAGTTGAACACTTTGTGTTTCAAGATTTGTCGAAAGCTGCGTGTGTGTGTGTGTTTATTGTAGGTTCCCCTCTCAACACTCTGTGGTTTTGATGAACTTGTGCGGCGAGGGCCCCTAGCCTCTAAACAGTTTAACACTGCACAGCCCCTTGATATAGGTGTTTGGAGACTTCCCGAAAACAATCTATGCTTTTGAAGGTTCCCCGCTTGGCATTTTCTGTGTTTGCAATAGGGCTCGAATCACAACTGTTCGCACCAACCAGCTCAATTGAGGCCAGAACTTCTCTCGTGACTCATTCGTATCGACTCTGCCTCCGTGACTTGCCGCGCAGCATCCTGAGCTGGACGGGAGCTACACTGAGATGGCGGGGGACCCTCAGGGAAAGCTGTTTGCCGAGCCGCTTGAATGAGCGGGCTGTTACGCTCCAGCTCACACATGCAGGCTTTGAAATTGTAGCACTGGAAGACCATCTCATCAATCCTGGAGTTCCGCTTGATTTCAGGTTCCTAAAGAAGCTTGACAGTTAAGTGGATGTTGAAGGGTTTTCCGGCCTGCTGGCAAGCTTGGTCAACTCCTTGTAAACTGTCCCTAAGTTGGCAATGACTGCATCTTGGTGCTGGATGCCGCTGCTCTGGAGATTGTTGGCTGCCATTCGGGCCTTCCCAGCTAGCTTGGTAATCCTAAGTTGCGCAACCAACTCACCAATGTGTTTTAAACAACAAAGTCTTCAAAGCCAGGACTCTCTGTCAAGCTCTTTTGGAACTCCTTCTTTTGCAAGTCTGCTTCAGACACCTGCAGGCCCAAGGTTTATGAGGACAAGAAACCACCTAACAGCAATGGGAAACCTCCAATTTTGCGGCCTCCTTTTTGTCTTTCACTGTCTTCTTATTGGCTTTGACCCCCTGGTTGAGCATGGGTTGAGCGCCAAAGCCCGCCGCCGCGTTGGTGACGTGCTCTGCCATAGATTTTCGGGCTGCAGGGTTCTCCCCCACATCCCCCTTTGCTTTCAACTTGGACGCCACCGAGCTCTCCTCCACTCCTGGGCCAAAAGCCAAAGGAGGCAAAGAGCAAAGGGGCAAACCACAAAGTAGGTAAGGTGCTCTTGGTCTTTGCGCAGTTCCACACTTTGTAGATCCGCATCTCAGCGTTGTCCTTGTCCTAACAAAAACATGATGGGCTTACCCGTGACTCGTGGTTTTGGACGTAACACTTGGCATGTCCTGAGGGTGTGGGATTCCTGCTTGTTGCGCAAGAATGCGGTCAACAAACTCGCGGCCGGCTCCACTCTTCTCATATCCATACTGTTCCTTCAGCACATACAGTGGAAGCTCTATGTATGTGTCAGCCTTGCTGTTCTTGGACATCTCGATGAACTCACTTTCCACCGTCAGGGATGACAGGCCATTGGGGTCCAGAATGAAAGCCTTCAGCAGCTCGAACCTTGTTTACACAACTGGGTGTTCATTGAGCAGTGTCTCATTGGATTAGGAACCGCACTTCTGCACCTCTGTCTTGGCGCCCTGGTACTTCTCCAAAACTCCCGGGGGAAGGCCTTGACAACAAGGAACCAGTAGCTTGTGTTCAGCTGGAAGGGTCGCCCTGCCTCCTTGGCTCATTCTTCTCCTTAAGGCTTCCCGTTGCCTTTTTTTCTCTGCGGGTTCCATTTCAGAGGGATGGGTCATCTCCTGCACAAACGCGAGAGTAGCTAGGGGTTCAGTTGGCTGCTGTTTGTTCGCATTCTCTTTTGTCATCCCAACCAAGCAGTCCTGGATTCTCTTCACATCCTCCTCGCCCAAGAGCTTCACCTCAGATTGGGTTTGAAGGGTTTGCCTGTTTTAAGAAAAACAGCAACGGCTACACTGACTAATCTTGCAAAATCCTGTTTGGCCCTCAGACCCAACAAGCTTTTGTTTCGCGTGGGGCTCAACCAAACGGAGTTTGATAGCATGTTGCATAGAGTTGGCCAAGTGTCCCGCTTCACGCGGCCACTGCCGTTGTCCTCGCCCAGCTTCCCGATCGGGGGGCAACCGGCGCCGTCAGACATGATGCTGGTGGAGCGCCGCAGCAAATGCCTAGGCCAGCTGCGGGAATTAAAGCAGTTGTGTTTTCAGGAAATGCATCGGAGGCCCTTTTCCAAAACAACGGTGCCAATCGGTCGAACTAAGATCTTTGCGAGGGAGCCGATGTTTGCGTGTCCTCGTCGGGGTCAAAGTCCAACTTGCGCTTCGTAGGCTTGCCCTTGCCAATCTTGATGGCGCGGCCGCCCTCATCCGGCTGTTGCCACTCACGAGTGCTCCACGGCGTTTCTGACGAGGACCAGCCACTGTTCCACCACCCGCTCTCCGCCTCCTGCTGCTTCTCGCCTGGCGTCCACCACTGCGTGACCTCCTTCGTGTCGCTGTCGTCCATGGCCACCGCATGCGCGTAGCCCTTGCCTCGAGACACTGCGATCTTCACATCGTCCTTGCCGCCCTTCGGCGCGTGTGTGGTCTCAGCGAACTTCGGCGCGCTGCCCTGCGCACCCTTCATGCCCGTCTCGACGCCCTTCTGCACGCCCTTCGCGCTGTCGCGCTCAAGCATCTCCTTCTTCACGCCCCTCTTCGTGCTGTCCTGCTCCGCGCCCTTCTGCGCACCCTTGGCCGCGTCGAAGCCCTTGCTCGCGCCCTTCTCCGCAAGCATCGGACTTGCGCCCAACGGCATGGCCTTCTTCTCGATCTTGCCCTTCGGCGCGCCCTTCTCCGCACCCTTCGGCCTGAGAGGCATAGCCTTCACAAGAACACCCTTCTCGAAGCCCTTCTTGCCCTTCTCATCGCCCTTCGCATCGTTCATGACCGCGTCCAGCGCACCCTTCTCGAAGCCCTTCTTGCCCTTCTCATCGCCCTTCGCATCGTTCATGACCGCGTCCAGCGCACCCTTCTCGAAGCCCTTCTTGCCCTTCTCATCGCCCTTCGCATCGTTCATGACCGCGTCCAGCGCACCCTTCTCGAAGCCCTTCTTGCCCTTCTCATCGCCCTTCGCATCGTTCATGACCGCGTCCAGCGCACCCTTCTCGAAGCCCTTCTTGCCCTTCTCGCCGCCCTTCGCAACCACGCCCTTCTCACCACCCTTCCCGAAGCCCTTCTTGCCCTTCTCGCCGCCCTTCGCATCATCCATGACCACGTCCGCGG